GGCGTCGATTCCTTTCATCAGACAAACACATAAAGTGCTTTATGTTGTTCTCGAAAGAAAAATGTGTCTACCTCGACGTGTGTGAACTTAGCATCTCAACTATTAGCATCTCACAAATAAACTTCATATTTACTTGCATCCATCATAGTTCCACAGTTCTTGATAAGTTTTAACAATAGTTCAATTGATTTATCCCTTAAAATCACGTTTTTAAGAAATGAGATGCTAACTTCTCGTACCGCTTGTCAGGATCTCATCGAATTAAACATATATGAGCATAGAGGAAGACAATCCTGCAGAGTTGTATCCCCTAGGAAAGTTATCTCAATAGTTCTAACGAATAAACCACGTGGTAAACAGTTTTATCATATTTATCAGCATCTCAGCCATACTATAGTGAGATGCTGACATTTATGGGTGAGTTCTGGCCTCCCTAGTGGATGAAATCCACAGTTGTAGTCGCCCTGCATATCCTCAAAAAGAGTACCGACCTCTCATCATCTCTAAACAATTATTAAAAATTATTTATCAGCATCTCAGCTGTACTATAGTGATGGAGCCAGATCTTATTACGTATGCGTCGTTGATTTTGCGTATCGCTCAGAGCGAGTACAAAATCTGACAATCCCCCCGGACGAAAAATAATTCTCAAAAAGTTCTATCGATAATTCTAATGGTAAAAAGCTGAGAAATTAAAATTAAAAGAGTTCTGTGACTTCGAAGATTCTGCGTAGCAAGTAGGGTAGATTCGAAAAAAAAAAAAAAAAAAAGAGTTCCGGGAGTTCTGATGGGAGTTCTGGGTAGTTCTAAAAGAGTTCTACAAAACGAATACCTGGACTTGATTAATCCATTCAGTATTTCGGGAGTATCGGATTTTATACGATTAATTGTTTTTTGAAATACTCATGTCAAAATGATTTTTTGACGAAATCTGGATATGTATTGTACCAAAAACCTATAGGGAACTCTAGAACTCTTTGAGAACTATCCAGAACACTGAAAAAAATTCGATTTTCTA